CCATGATCCCACAGCAAGAGACAGGAAAAGAGGGGGGAGGGGGAGGAAGAATGGGGGGAGAGAGGGGGAGAGGGGGAGAGATGGAGAGAGAGAGAGAGAGAGAGAGAGAGAAGAGCCACTGCCTCAGTTGTTATCATGTGACGTTTGGCATCATGTACTACTCGAATTGGAAGATATCACTCGTTTATCAAGTTAAAATTAGAAATGTTTGCTCGTCTTTCAGAACACTCACAGAACAAGTTAATAGCAATCCAAAGTTTTACTGTATTTAGGATATATCTGTTCTCAATTATCTTCATCATAAATTCTATTATATTAAGATACAACTTAAATTACATTTCTAAACTTTGTGTCCTTCTTAATACTCCCAAAAGGAACAGTTTAACAATACAAATGTTTTAGGACTTTCCTTTCAATCATTACATGACTAGAGAATCTGTTAACTAATTTTGCAGAGAAAATGAGTCAAAACACAAACTCTATTTTTTGTCATTTTAGAAGAAAAAGCTCTTGTGAGTTTCCCCAAATCTCAATATATAGTTTTCCTTTAATACTAAAGTTACAAGATAAAAACTGAATTTTTTTACTGTCAACAAGATCTGGTATACTGATTAGATCTTAAAATCTTTCAAAATAAAAACTGAGTATATTGTATAACAGATAAAAACAGACTCAGAACATTAAAACAGATATCCTTTAAGTCAATATTTACATTATGAAGGAAGGCCTGAAGGATTCGGTGGTTGCCTAAGGTCACAATAACAGAGACAGAATTAAAGATCTCAATTTAGTAAATGCATGGTAGTAACCTGAACTGGATGCTGGAATAGGAAAAAGGACATCAGTGGGAAAATCTGAATAAATCTGAATAAAATCAATAATTCAATTAATAGTTTTGTATCAATATTAACTTTGTAAATTCAACAAACAGACCACTGTTATTTAAAATGTTAACATTAGAGGATGCTGGGTGAAAGGTACATGAGAACTGTACTAGCTGTAATTTTCCTGTAGGTCTTAAATTATGAAATAAATATAAAAGGCTTAATTTAAAAACTCTAAATCTAAAACTATTTTTTTTCAGTTTATTTAGACAGAGCATGCACACAAGTGAGGGAGGGGCAAAGAGAGAGAGAAAGAGAGAATCCCAAGCAGGCTCCATGGTGTCAGCGCAGAGCCTGACTCAGGGCTCAATCCCATGAACCATGAGACCATGACCTGAGCCAAAATCAAGAGTCAGAGGCTCAACCGACTAAGCCACCCAGGAACCCCTAAATCTAAAACTAATTTCTAATCCAGAATGCTTCCCTTCTGTTTGCATAACATTCCCTAAACAGAAAGGCATTAGACACTATGTTTCCAGAGGTAACAACATATAGCACACCTCCTTATAACACCTCCCAACCAAATATAATCAAAAGAAATCCTCCCTGTTTTTCTACTTAACCATGAATTCTTGGTATATTCCAGGAATTTTTGCTTATTTTATTGAATTCTCACAACTGTCCTAAAATAATTATCTACCCAGGGGCGCCTGGGTGGCTTAGTCGGTTAAGCGTCCGACTTTCGCTTAGGTCATGATCTCGCGGTTCGTGGGTTCGAGCCCCGCGTCGGGCTCTGTGCTGACTGCCAGCTCAGAGCCTGGAGCCTGTTTCAGTCTGTGACTCCCTCTCTCTCTGACCCTCCCCTGCTCACGCTGTCTCTCTCTCTCTCTCCTAGAAATAAATAAAACATTAAAAAAAAAAGACTAAAAAAAAATAAAAAAAAAAAATTATCTACCCAAATTATACCTGAGGCTTAGAAAAGCTATGTAATTTGCTTACTATCACATGGTTGTCACTATACTCATCATCAACTTTCGGCCTCGGCACTTTTAAGATTATGTGTATTTGAATGAGTAAGAAGCATTTGTTACTAAATTTTAAAACTTCTACCTCCACAGTGTTTTTCAGATCCAAACCCTTACTGCCAATGACATAGCCACTACCTTTTGTTTAGGTCTCTGTCACCTCTTGTCTATTCTAGAGAGAAAAGCCTCCCAAACAAGCATTCTAACCTCCAGGCCTTTCCCCCTTAATCCATTAGACATACACCCATAGTTGTTTACTGGCCTCCCAGAACCTATACCCACATTTTAGTAAAGGTACCGACTTCCTTCTGGGAAATTACTCTCCTCTACCTAGACAAGGCTATGTATAAATACGTCTAGCTCTGGAGCACCTGCCTGGCTTAGTCAGTGCAATATGTGACTCTTGATCTTGAGGGTGTGAGTTCGACCCCCATGCTGGGTGTAGCAATTACTTAAAAAAAAATAAAATTTAAAAGAAATAAAAATAAATATATATGTCCACTTCTGCCCTCACAGATGACTGGACATGAACCAACCTAAGCCAACTCCACTCTCTGTTTTCAAGGATCCGGAATCTTGAGCAAAATGAAAAAACTTTGGGGGGGAAATGGATGGCACTAATTTATTCTGGTGTCTATTTAGACTGTCAACTCATTCCTGATATCAAGACCCCAAGAACTGCCCCAGACTGGCTTCCCAGCCTTGCTTCTGAGTCTATGAGTAGTTTAGTAGCCTTACAATAAGTTTCATTTCACCTTAAGATAGTCACCGCCATTTTTCTGCTTGCAAACAAAGACCATAATGAATATGGAACCCTTGATTCACTTAAGATCTCTAAAGCACCTCAAAAGTATCATTCAATCATCCTGTTCAATAACTTTAAATGAACCCACAAATTCCCATTATTACAATCTGCTCCAGGGTGACTTTTCAGGGTTCTCCCAATTTGGGTCCAGTTGATATTTGTTGAACTTATTTCTCACCTATGACATAATGTATATTAGGGCTATTTTCTTCACTTGGAATGCTATCCACACCATCTCTGCCTATAAATCTTATCCACCCTTCCAAATATATTTCAATTATTACCCTGTATGTAAATTCTTTATCAATTCCACTAACACAATAAGATACTATAGAAAAGTCCTCATACCACCTTGTATCTGTATTTATTACATATTCTATATTCACTTACTAGTACTGTATGGATTACATTCTTCCACTGACCCCACTAACTCTTCCAAAGGCAAAAGAAAGAGTGGAAATATGTCAAGTATGTGCTGACACAATTCAGTCAAGAATAGTATCACCAGGGACACCAGGCTGCCACAATCAGAGGAGCACACAACTCTTAGTCTCTCCATGTTGGATGTAGAAATTACTTAAATAAAACTTAAAAAAAAAAAAAAAAAGAATATCATGATATTGGCTATTCATACTATGACAAAATTTAAACCAATCAAACTTTTTTGAAACTTGGCATATGCAAATTTGGGATCAACTTCTGTTTCTGAGTGGTGATAGAATAATCGGGACAGGATTTATATTCCTGACACAAGATCGAAAAATATAAAATTCCTTTTTAGAAGCTGAACAAGAGGTAATACATGACCACAATCTCTTCAAGAAGTGAAACAAGGTAAGTTCTATGGTATACTGGCTTTCTGCCTGGAAACACTTTCCAGAATGCAGAATAGGCAAAGGGATTCCAAGAAAAGCACAGCAGTCCTGAGTAAGAAGACAAGTATCAGGGGCGCCTGGGTGGCTCAATCGGTTAAGCGCCTGGCTCTTAGTTTTGGCACAGGTCATGACCTCATGGTTTGGGAGTTCAGGCCCCACGATGGGCTCAGTTCTAACCGTGTGGAGCCTGCTTGGGAATCTCTCCTTCTCTCTCTCTCTCTCTCTCTCTCTGCCCCTCCCCTGCTCACACTCTCTCCCTCTCCCAAAATAAACAAACTTTATAATTATTTAAAAAAAAAAAGAGAGAGGGGCGCCTGGGTGGCTTAGTCGGTTAAGTGTCCGACTTTCGCTTAGGTCATGATCTCGTGGTTCGTGGGTTCGGGCCCCGCATTGGGCTCTGTGCTGACTGCCAGCTCAGAGCCTGGTGCCTGTTTCAGTCTGTGACTCCCTCTCTCTCTGACCCTCCCCTGCTCACGCTGTCTCTCTCTCTCTCCTAGAAATAAAAAAAAAAAAAAGAGAGAGAGAGAGATCAGAGTTTAGGAAGGCCAAGCCAAATGAAATAGAGAAAGTGGACTTTCTGGAGAAAGAATTTCAGAACTGTTTAGAGGATGCCTTCCAGTATCTCTGGCTGAATACAAAGTTGCACATGCACACGGTAAAACTCCATAAGGCCAGGCAAAGAACAACTACTGGGGAGTTAAACTCTCCAAGGTCACACAGGTTAGAAAATGGTCTCAGTTCCAACTCAACCACAGTGGAGAATCTTAAGAGACTTAGAGAACTCAGTAGAGTCCTCAAAAGGGTTATAACTTACCAGTAGAGCTAAATTAGCTCTAGCATAAAGACTACTCTAAATTTACCTTAACAAAAAAACTTAATCCCTGAAGGGATTGAGCTGATCCATAAGCAAGTGCCCATTAAAACAAAGTGTAATGTTCTTGGGGCGCCTGGGTGGCTTAGTCGGTTAAGCGTCCGACTTTCGCTTAGGTCATGATCTCACGGTTCGTGGGTTTGAGCCCCGCATCGGGCTCTGTGCTGACTGCCAGCTCAGAGCCTGGTGCCTGTTTCAGTCTGTGACTCTCTCTCTCTCTGACCCTCCCCTGCTCACGCTGTCTCTCTCTCTCTCTCTCCTAGAAATAAAAATAAAAAAATAAAAATAAAAAAACAGGGGCGCCTGGGTGGCTTAGTCGGTTAAGCATCCAACTTTCGCTTAGGTCATGATCTCGCGGTTCGTGGGTTCGAGCCCCGCTTCTGGCTCTGTGCTGACTGCCAGCTCTGAGCCTGGAGCCTGTTTCAGTCTGTGACTCCCTCTCTCTCTGACCCTCCCCTGCTCACACTCTCTCTCTCTCTCTCCTAGAAATAAATAAAAAATAAAATAAAATAAAAAAACAAAGTGTAATGTTCTTTAAAGACAGCAAAAAAATAGGGGACAACATACTAAACTCAATCAAAAATTAAAATACCAAAACCTGCTAACTTCAACAATACATATACTAAAATTAGAATGACACAGAGAAGATTAGCATGGCTCTGAACAAGGATGATATGCAGATTTGTGAAGCGGTCCATATTTTTAAAAAAGTAAACACTGCTGGGGCACCTAGATGATTCAGTCAGTGGAGCATGTGATTCTTGATCTTGGGGTTGTAAATTCAAGCCCTACATTGGGTGTAAAGATTACTTACTTAAAAATAAAATATTTTAGGGAAGCCTGGGTGGCTGAGTTGACTGAGCATCCAACTCTTGATTTTAGCTCAGATCATGATCTCGCAGTTTGTGGGTTCAAGCCCCATGTCAGGCTCCATGCTGACTGTGCAGAACCTGCTTTGTATTCTCTCTCCGCCCCCCCACCCCCACTCTCACACACACTCTTGTTCTCTCTCAAAATAAACTTAAAAATTAAAATAAAATGAAATCTTCTAAGAAAAAGACATATCAAAAAAAACAAGAAATGTCATCCATAACCAACAGAAAAACTGTCAACAAACACAAACCTCAGAATGAAAGAGAAATTAGCAAAAAAGAGCATTAATTATTCTAAATGTCTACACACATTTAAATAAAAATATATACATAAAAAGAGAAAAGAGAAAGGAAAAAAAATGAAACAGAACAAAATGGAACTTCAAAAGATGAAAAATACAATTCAGAAATGAATAAATACACTAGATGGGATTAATACGATATAGGACACTGAAGAAAACACACAAAATTTTAAAAGATCTATTAATATGGAGACATGAAAATTTAAAAACCATGTAACAGCACAATTAAAAAAGAAAAATGTGTAGGATCACAATAACTGTAGAACAATGTTAAATGGTCTATAAATGGTCTAACATATATGCAACTGGAATAACACATAAGAAGATGAAAAAAATTATTAGAAGAAATAATATCCAGGGGCGCCTGGGTGGCTCAGTCAGTTAAGTGTCCAACTATGGGTCAGGTCATGACCTCACGGTTCGTGGGTTCTAGCCCCGCGTCAGGCTCTGTGCTGACAGCTAGCTCAGAGTCTGGAGCCTGCTTCAGATTCTGTGTCTCCCTCTTTCTCTGACCCTCCTCTGCTCACGCTGCCTCTCTCCTTCAGAAATAAATAAAACGTTAAAAAAAAAAAAAAGAAACAATACCCAAAAATTTCTTAAATTTGATGGAAACTTTAGACCACAGATTCAAGAAACTCTAAAGAAACACCTCCAGGATAACCTCAAATCAAGATGAGGGTACATTAGTGTCAACTTACTGAAAAATCAATATAAAGTCTTAAGACTAGTCAGAGGAAAAAAAAGACATATTTCCTGCAGAGTAAAAAAAAAAAAAAGTGTAGCGTTCACATCTGAAACTGTCATGTCAAAAACATATTAGCACGGGGGTGCATGGGTGGCTGTCTGCTGAGCTTCCAACTTCAGCTCAGGTCAAGATCTCACAGTTTGTGGGTTTAAGCCCTGCGACAGGCTCTCTGCTGTCAGCATGGAGCCTGCTTCGGATCCTCTGTCCCCCTTTCTCTCTGCCTTTCTCTGGCTTGCATACACACTCTCTCCCTCAAAAAATAAACTAAGATTAAAAATATATATACCACAATCCTAAACGCATATGCACCTGATAAGTCTTCAAAATACATGAAGAAAAACTGACAAAACTTTGAAAAGACAAATGAGGAAAAATGGGTGATGGGCATGGAAGAGGGCACTTTGGGATGAGCACTGGGTGTTATACGGAAACCAACTTGACAATAAACGATAATAAAAAATAAAAGTTAAAAAAAAAACAAATGAGGGGCACCTGGCTCAGTTGGCTGAGTGTCCGACTTTGGCTCAGGTCATGATCTCATGGTTTGTGGGTTTTGTATCTTTGTCATGTACTCATGGTTTGTGGGATTCTGTATCTCCCTCTCTTTTTGCCCCTCCCCTGCTCGCACTCTGTCTCTCAAAAGTAAATGTTTTGTTTTAAAGATTTTAATTAAGAAAACAAAAGGACAAATGAATAATTATAGTTAACATTTCAAAATTACTCTCTATAACTGAGAAAACAAGTACAGAAAGTCAATAAGGATACAGAAACCTCACACTCAAACAATTTGACCTAATTCACATTTATAAAGCACTCCATCTAACAAAGGATACACATTCTTCTTAAGTGCTTATGTAACATTTACCAAACCAGACGTATACTCAGCCATAAAACAAGTCAAAACAAGGCAGCTTGTTGGCTTAGTCAGTGAAGCTTGCAGCTCTTGACCTTGGGGTTGAGTCTGAGCCCCACATTAGGTGGAGATTACTTAAAAAACAAAATCTTTTTTTTTTTTTTTTTTTTTTTAAAGTCTCAACAGGGGCGCCTAGGTGACTCAGTTAAGTGATTTCAGCTCAGGTCATGATCTCACGGTCCACAAGTTCAAGCCCCACGTCAGGCTCTGTGCCAACAGCTCAGAGCCCAGAGCCTGCTTCAGATTCTATGTCTCTCTCTCTCCCTCTCAAAAGTAAAATAAAAAACATTGTTAAAAATTCAAGGAAAAAGAAGTCTCAACAAATACAAAAGAATTAAATTCATACATAATTTCGGTATTCTCTGACCACACAGAATTAGAAACTAAATCAGGAATATTCCTAAATATTTGGAAATTAAACAATTCTTTTTTTTTTTTTTACAAATAGTTTATTGTCAAATTAGTTTCCACATAACACTCAG